GATTTTCATTTTTGGGTGAACTAACCCTTTAACTCTATGACACCAAAAGTCTATAGGTGCGTTCGACTTCATGCAGCACTGCGCAGGCCGATCGCAATCTGACTTGAAGCAGTGCATGCCGGTTAGAAATTTTGTCCGACTTGAGACGGTGCCGACACCACATGACTGTCACGTGTTGCATCAAAGTGCCGCGAGAGCATTTCGAGAGCAGCCAGCTGACTCAGCCACCGCAGTTTCTCCAGAGCGACTGCAGGAGCGCTGATGACGACACAGCTGTTTCACGATTGGCCAGATTCACCGCATGACAACGATCACGTGTGTTTCGGGTTTATTCTAACCTTTTCAATTCCAATAATGGCCACAAATCTGTGTTTTTAGAACGGTAAACGCTTTTTTTTTTACTGTAGTCGCACTGTTGTATTGAGCCACGTTTATCATACAACACTGATAAAAGCATATATACCCCCACTTTATTAGTATTTAAATAGTATATGATTATGTTGAACTTTATTCTTGAACAGATGGCGCTGTATTAAGCAGTATATAAAAAGTGTTTCTGTTGCTCATGAAAACGTTTCTGAAACATCTGTGTATTTGACAAATATTGCATTTAATTCACTTCATCTGTGATAAAGTTTGCAAACACCGCGCGAGTGTCACTAACGGGAGCAGAAAGTGTCCGGCTTGACGTGTCTGTTTTCAACTCCGCCCCCGACTGCAAGCGGCTACTCTCGTTGACCGCCGTCTGTAGCCGTGCTTCAAGTCGAACGCACCTACTGTCAAACAGGTTTCAATGAGATAAACATTCAGCCATTACAAATAATTTGTTGCACGCACTAAAAGGTCACACTGTACATTCTTATGTGGTTAAAACTGTCATAATTGCGTTTGTATGCATTCTATGAATAAAATGACCAATACGGCTATTAATAATTATAATAAGTAAGTGAATGCCGTTTTCATGCTTTCACCATACAGGAGTCCACTATGTCCCTCCTGATGAAGTCTCACCCACAGAGTTACCAGCATGTGGATATGGGTCCCCAGCTGAGTCAGAAGACCCAGAAGATCAGCAAACGGAGGGCGGTGCCCAGAGTGAAGATTCACCTAGTGACCTGAAGCCACACATACTAGATGTCATTTCAATCTGTAAGACGGAGGCAGAGGATAGAGAGCTAGTGCATCAAAAAGATGTCTCATCTGCAGGTGAACAACGACTCTTCCCTCAGTTCGACAGCTCGAGTACAGATGAGATGTGGAACAGGAATGTGCCCACTGCGGCAACACCAAGGGTCAAGATTGAGCCCAAGGACACCATCATCACAATAACATCTTCGGTTACTACCACCCCTGCCCATGCCGGTCAATGTCAAGACCAGATGAGAACAGCCAGTGACACTTCAACCATGTCGAGGAGACAGCAGCGAAAGGAGCACCATCGCTCACGATACACCAAACCTAGAAGAGCATTTACAAAAGATCACGATCATGAAGGGCCATATAAGTGTAACAAATGTGGAAGGCTGTTAAAGGACTTGGCAAAGCTGCAACTGCACAAGAAATTGCATGAAAGATCCTTCATCTGTCACTGGTGTGGCAGAAATTTCTCTAAGTTTGACTACCTTCGGATGCATATGCGCACACACACCGGAGAACGGCCTTACCGCTGCAACTGGTGCTCAAAGACCTTCAGCCAGAGCGGGAACATGAGGAGACATGAGCGCACGTGCCGGAGTTTCAATGAAGAACCAGCGTCGCACGCACTAGAAGATCAACAGCTGCCTGCCGAGTGACCAGTGCGTCGTTGTTGCCAGATCGCTGCAGGCACACCTCAAGAAAGAACCTGTTATTGTGATAGAGAGCTGAAACTCGATTTTCATTACATATAATGGGATATTTATTGTTTTATCACGTATATTAGAAGCTTCCATGTTACAGAAAATACAGAAGGCCGATATGCTGTTTGACCATATTTCTATGACTTTTTTTTTTTCTTATAATAAATACTCCACAGAGAGCATTATCTAGCCAATGAAATATTTTTAGGCAGTGTGGAACTATAAAAAATGTATATTCAATATAGGAAGGAATGACTTTCATTACTTATTTTATTAATTCCAGTATATTTCCAGGACTACACATTACAATTAGAAAATTCCAGGTTTTTGGTGACTGTAGGAATTACAGAGAAAATCTAAAAGCAGTATATTAGGATATGAATCAATGTGGTAGACTGAATGGGAAAATTTACTTAAACTGCAAAATTGAAGAAAATCATGTAAGTTGAGAAGATGTGTCTTATGACTGTAAAATGAGAAACTTTGTCGTATGTAACAACAAACACCTGAATAAACTAGATTCAATTTAATCTGACATCAGTAAATGTATGTATCCGAGGAAAATGTTTTTGTGGCCATTGTGAAGTTACTGTATGTCTGTGTACGTGTGTAATATGCATACCTAGGGATGCTCAGTTTTGCCTTATATTAAAAATATTTTACAACCTTGTTATTTAGATATTGTTTACCCAAAAGCACTGAATCACCAGTTACTACCACTGTGTTAAATGCATTTATATTGATTCTGTTACTAACAGTATGATAATTATGCCATAATTATCGTGTCATAAACATTCTATAATCTTCTAGCTATTTATCTGTCACCAATAGTGCATTTAGCATTCTTTCTTTGTAAGTGATGTTTTTATATTGGTATTCTATTGGTAGTTTATTCAATTCATCTTTCACACTTTAATGGTCTCGTTTTTCTGTCCCTGTGTAGTAGACCCCAGATTTCTCCCAGGTTTAGTGGGGTTCTATCTTTTCACAACTAATTTATGCAAATGGTCCACTAATGTAAATTTAATGTAAAACAATTAACCATAATCTATAGTAATTGTTACTAGTGTAAACCTGTATTCAATTAATGTTTTTCAAACAGCATAAGAAGCTTTCAGAATATTTTTTTTAAATGACTCCAATAAATAATACTAAGTTACCACAGTTTTAAATTAGTAAAGATAATTCCAGTTACTACATTATTTTTGGTGGTTATCATGATGGCACATTTTTGTAGGTCCGTCATTAGGAGTGACAACCGGAAACGTTGTCTTGGGTCCTGTGATGATGGATCCCCGCAAGACTTTCAATTCTATACCTTACTCATTTTAGCAGGAGCTGTGCATATTTGTAAAGAATATTCTCAAAAGAATATGAAACTTGTCTGCTATATTATTCATTGTAAAGTTAATCTGTGGAGTTTTGCACCGCTGCAGCTAACTCAGTAATCTAAACTACTTTAAAACAAAACACTAAAGTTTTTTTGTGATATGTAAAAGAACAATGCATAATGTTAAAAAACCTCTCTAGAAGAGTACTGTTGTTGTACCTTATCGCCTCTCAAAAGCGACTTGTTTAAATTTAACTTTTCTCATTACTTAAATACTTGAAAACCCTGTTTATTCTTGTACATAAAAGAACAACTACTTTTCCTACCATTTTGTTTGGACTTCCTTTCGACCAAGTTTGCTCTCCTCCCACCTATAGTTAGCATCGTGGCTTACGCTCTCTAGCTGAACGGTAGTACTTCTCCTGTGCAGTAGGTGGCAGTCAGATGTTACCAGCTGCTTTCCAAATTTGGAGGAGAAAGGCAAACTGTTCATGCAACGGGGATAGCTAGCTCTTTCAGAGGTTTGTCTTTGCTGCTGAATTGCAGAGACAAAAAACATACAAAATGACCAAACTGCAGCTGCTGCATCGCGCGCTGAACGAGCGTCTGATGGCGGCGGTGGAGCAGATAATGGAGATGGTCGGCGATACGGTGCTGGAGTATGAAGAAGAGACGATCCGGGCACGGAAAGAAAACGAGGTTCTGAGACGGAGGCTACGGTGGATAGAGGGGGCAAATCGAGCGGACTGGCCAGGTAGCATGACAGATCGAGTTTAATGTAGTTTTTAATGCAGAATACTGTGCAGGACAGATAGCACGACTTGAAGTGAGTTTTTTTTTAAACATTTATTTGGTTGCTGCATAGTTTTGTGTTCTATATCCTATGCACGGCCGTGGACCTTGTTTTGGTGAGATCATCCTCGTGCATTCAGACTTTGCTCTTCCTTATAACGGAAGTTATAAATGTTTGTTATAAGAACTATACTTGCAACTGCAATAGGCTGAAGTAAACATTGATCTGTCAATTGTCCACTTGATGTTTTCGCTCCAAAACATGCCCCCTCTAGAGTCCAAAGGAAGAAACATTTCCAGTCGCATAAGCGCACTATACGAGACAGAAGGCCATTAACTTCCATTTCCTTTTGGTTTAAATCAGCACATGTTACTTACTGCCAGGGCCCTGCACAGACATTTTGAGGGGCAGGTGCCGAAATCACTGGGGGTGGGGCAGTTATTGCTCAGTCGTATATATGTATATGTATGTATATTCAATCATATTTTTGTCTTTAACATTTTGTATGTTAATGGGATGTTTCTGTACTAAATGTTTACTAAATATTTATTCTAAATTATTCACTATGGAGTAACCACTACATTTATGTATAGCCCTATAAACAGGGCTGTGTATCTCCTAGTTGCTGGGAACATTGTTTTCAAACATAATTACTTACTTGCATTAGATTATGTATTTGGATATATACAGTATTTAGAGGATATATACAGTGTTTAGACTATTAAATACTACTTTTTGTAAAAGTTGACGTTTAAAGGTTGATTTGAAGTGTCAGTTTTTGCATCATTATTGCGGTCAAATCTGGACACAGGGAACGCATTTTGTTACTCATACTAGGTAGGCTACATATAATTACTTGATCAGTTACATGAAAGTAATCAGAATAAATATTGACTCAGTGCGACCAGGTTAATATTCCTAAACTCCACATCGCTGTCAGCGATTGACAGATTCAGGTTCCAGTAGCTTTATTGGCATGGTAAAAAGGCTTTACATTGCCAAAGCACTCTGATCCAGTGCTGTTTAGCATTATCAAATTTACAGGCGGCAATGGGCAGCGAATGAGGCAGTGATTGACAATGGCAATTAGGCATTGTCAGATTGACATTACTCTAGCCCAATGGTGCTGGGAGGGCACCAGGGGGGCCAATCACGTTCAGTGGGGTTCGAGAGGGGCACCTCAGCCAGTGAGGGCAGAGGGGCAGTGGCTCTAGCCACCGGGCCACCCCCCTGTGCACGGCCCTGCCTACAGCTACTTAGATTCATAGGTTGGAAACAGAAATCACACAAAACACACTTTATCAAATTGTCACACTTTGGTTTCTTGAAATTCTCAGGCCCATCAGAACCTGTTACGCTTTCCACAATGGACGAGGCCAATCCATCCCGGCAAGATGAGTGTGCTGTCAACTTTGGATTTGGACAGGAATTAGAAGCTCTTGAAATCAAACCAGAGACGACTGATCTCCCACTGTGCATTAGACCTGAAAGCAGCGTCACCACATTACCTCAAAGCATTGATCAGGGATCTGACAATGCCGGGACAGGTGCTGGTATTGCCTATGGCCTGACAGACAGTATGACCTGGGACTCTGCCCAAAGTTACATGGCCCCTCTGGACTTTGATCTAACTTCAGGTCCCACCAGGGTCCGGCGCTGGAGAGGACGGAACAGAAGGCAGAGGATGTCCTTTGCCTGTCCAGACTGTGGTAAAGTCTTTGGAAGGGAACAGAGGCTGATCATTCATATGCGGATTCATTCCACCGAGAGGCCTTATGCATACCGCCGGCGCAAGGCGTGCTTCTATGGTGATAATAAGAAAAAGAGGAAACTGCACAGGCTCTCTCAGGTAAACATCAGCACGGTTATTAAAGTCAATAAGACATTAAAATTGACCCATTTTTACTTTTTAATACACATCTTATTGTGGTGAATGTTATTCAGAAGCATTCTGGTATTAAAAATCAAACCCCACACTTCATTTTTTCACATTTAATATACTGATTCACTTTGAAATTTGTTGTTTTAAGTATTAAAATGATAGATTAAACTCATAATGAACTTTTATAAATGGAAAATGAGAATGTTTTTAACAAATAATATTATAAATGCTTGTGTTATTCTCTCGCATGCAGCTATCAAGAGAAATTGTGGATGATCTGTCAGATGGCTCTGAGCAGACGAACAGGAGTAGTGCATCATCTGAACAACTAGAAACTACTGCACCAGGCCAAGAAGAAGAGCCTGAGAGTGACCACACCAGCAGTGATAAAGAACCAGAAAAGAGAATTACCACCCCTGTGCGGAATCAGCGCAACAAAAAAAGAGTTGTAAACCAGATTGTGACAGAACCAACACCGTGTCAGTGCCCTCATTGCCCTCATCGGATGTTCGCTCGGCCCTGTCAGTTAGCCATGCACATGAAGACCCACACGGTCACAGCTCTTACCAACCTACCCACCCAAGCACAGTCAGGAACTCGGGAGATAGTGGATGTGAAGAGGAAGTTACCCAAGGTACTGCACATTTTCTAGTGTCATAAGTAGTGTGTGTAGATATGCATACATCGAGATTTTCTTTCCTTCACACATAATCCCTCTTAAGGATGTAAACAGATAGTAGGGGGAGCAAATGAAACGGTCATTGAAAAAGCTATATAAATAAACCACTATTCTGAATATTTGGTGTGATATGTGTCAACACATAATGTTATTTGATGCAATAAGAGTCAAAATAAAACTCACAAGCAAAGAAAGATATTGCAAGATGCACATTTTGAAGTAGTGGTTGACCAATATGGGTTTTTCAACTGCTGATGCTGATATCTAGAAAGTAGGGTGGCTGATATTCAATTATAGCAAATGTACATAAACTTTCTGAAATGATATGAAAACACATTTACTCAAAATACACTAAAACAAATAAAAGAAAAGAGATAAACACTGCATGGTTATTGGCTGATGGTTGTAATCTCAAAATACGCAAATACTGGCCGATTCATTGGTCTTACCACCAAAGTGCATGAATAATGACCTCTCCATAGTAGTTCAGTGAATCCTAAGATAGTAAGCATGTATCTTAGGATGAACTAAACACACTCATACAGCTACAGCCAATCTACGAAGAGAACAAGAAAGCAACTACTGAAGCGGATGCTGTTTCAACGGTGAGTCTGAGGCCAAAAATGACAGCTATGAAAACAAGAGTTGATATGTGGCTTGGAACACATACTGTTCATTCAAACAAACTTCTGTTTGTTGTGGGGTTGCACCACCAGTAAAAAAAAATAAATAAAAAATAGGTGAATGAAGCATTTGAGCATAATAAAACTCTGGAAATATCAGCTATAGCTAGGTAATCTGTTATCATTTTTTGTCAGATAATGTGTTTTATGTAACTAGCTAGTTGAGTAGATCAAACGTTTACATAAAGCTGAATTGAAGAACAAAGATAATGTATTATAATCATAACATTTTATCAACTGCTACTACTTAATTGCTAGTAGTCTATGGCTGAGGGATTTTCTTTTTCTTTATTATTATTTAACTGAAATGGAATTGTCAGTACAGGCTATCCTGTGTTTGCAGTCTATAGAAATTACCAGGTAGATTTGTAGATTGAGCAGTAGATTTGACAAATGGAATATATATGGCAGTTTATTTAGCTGGTGTTTGTTTTTAATTGACCAATCCATGCGATTTTAAATGAGGGGGTTTCAGCCTTTATGGACCCAGAGATCCCCAGCCAACCCAAGTACCTCTAGTATAAAAAAGCTAGATTTTTATGATAACATGTTACAGTAACTTATTTTTTTTTATATCATGTAACATTGTTACATTATGCAATTCTTAAAAGGTCATTTGTTAGAAAATAGTTGTTTAAATGTTTTCTGGGACCCATGGTTGAAAACCCTGCATTTAAATAATTACAAGACCAGTATCACCAGTGAGGAGAAGAAAATGTTGGATTGTTTGACTGTTACGTTCTTGTTGTTCGCATTAAGTCAGCTATTAGTAACTGTTTTGATTAGTTGAAGTTCATTTTGTAGGTCTGCTTTCACCACTGCATTTAAGTCAAAGCCATACCTACAATTATCTGAATGCATTCAGTGTTTTATAATGTTTTATAGTATCTTTAATGCAAATAAGTATCACTAAAGAAAAAAACACAAAGCTTATACATATGTTTTTCTTCTTGCTTCACAGGTGGCATTTGTTTCAAACCGCTGTTTTAGCAAAGTTTGGGACTACTTTTCAAAAGATGCATATGGTGAAGTCTTTTGCCATGCATGTTCAGCCAGAGTTAGCCAGGGGTCCAGCAAGGCTTCTCAGAAGAACACCTCTAATTTATGGTCCCATCTTAGAATAAACCATCGACATGCCTATTTAGAGGCAAAAAGGTACAGCCGACCAGTCAGTATGCTGATCAACACTTTGGACACAACTCCGCTTAAATTAGAGCATTTTGAGCCAGAAGAAAGCATTGTAGAGGGAGAAGGTGAAATAAAGAAGGTTATGATACCAGAAGAACCATCCAATGGAACTTTGTAAATATGTAAACAATTTGGACACAATGTTTATATATGTATATACAAATGAGAAAATCACAACCTTTTGGATTTTTTTTAATGGAAAACATTTGTGTATATATACAATGCAATTATAATGCAGTTGTTTTAATAAAATTAGTTTGAAATGAATTCATGAATTTTAGTCTTTTCTGCTGGTGGTTTACTTCAAATGTTTGTAATGCCATGACATCTTGGGAAATGTACTGTAGATTTGAAATGCCACTCATTGTCCTACAGTATCAGTGCAATGAATGTTTCAACTTTCAAGTTCACTGTTAGAGTAAATATTTAAATATGCTGTTTACCTGGAATGACTTCTGTTAAAAAATACAGACATTATTCATTCACTTTCATATCCAGGGTGTACATTTGGAGCTCATTGCATATGTCTTTCCATGCTTTTCTCATTGTCAAATGGACTTGCATTTCTTTCAGAGGCAAAGAAAAAATGATGTGGAGAAGGAGGCCAAAGTTGCTGACAAACGTGAGCTCCATTGTCCAGACTGTGACAAAGTCTTCTTTTATGCAAGTCGGTTGCGTGTCCACACAAAGTCCCATAAGTCCAAAAGGGCTTTATTACGCAAAACTCGGCCAATCAAGACTGAGGTACCTGCTCACACAATGCATAAATGTGATCTGGATGTATGATTATTTCTAGGGATGCACCGATACCACTTTTTCCAGTACTCGCCCGATACAGATACTTTTATTTTTGGTACTTGCCGATTCAGAGTACCGATACCAGTATTTTTATTGCATTTGTAAATTTTTTTAAATATTGGGTACACAAACCAAAAGAGTATGTATATTGTTAGTTGGTTATCTTCATTTATCAAATAGATACAGTCAAACCAAAATGTATTCAGACACCTTCAACATTTCTCACATTATCACAGTTTATTCGCTATAGTTTAGAAAATGGTAATAAAATATGACAAGAACTCAGAGTTAAACTGTGTCAGAACAAATTCAGCTTGATAATGTTAGATAACTTTGATAGAAAGGTATGTAATAGATTACAATCAACCAAAAATTATTCAGACAGCTGTATGACAGTATTTACACAACTATCAATACTTAGTTGGGCAACCCTTAGCCTCAATGACAGCCTGTAGTCTCCTGGGCGTGCTGTCATCCAGGTTCATGCAAACCTCCACTTCAATGTTTTTTCCCAGACTCGGTCTGAATAATTTTTGGTCCCAAATTTGTATACAGAGTATCGGGCCCGATACCGGTATTGGTGCATCCCTAATTATTTCCATTAATGTGCTTCTTATTACGTTTGGATATTTGTGTTCCTCATAGCTGACTAAAGAAGAAACAATGGTGGCAGTGCCTAAAACTACAGAAGTACAGAATTTGAAGGAGCTAAAGAAAACATATGCCTGCCCGCATTGTGATAAAGTGTTTACTCGTGAAGGATGGCTGGGGCCGCACATTCGCACTCAACACCAGGAAGTAAAGAACATGAGTGATTACTTTAACGTGTTTGGCAGTGGCCGTACAAGATCACAACAGCCTTTCACCAAGGTTAGTTTTCAGATTTGTAATTGAATATGCAGATGTTAATGTATACTTGCTGAGACACTGATCATTTTTTAACTTTTATTTCTTTATAATAATCCATATTCCTTTTTTATTGATCGATAAGCGATTTCGTAAGTGCACAACTAAGACGCGGGAAGTCTCTAAGAAGCCAAGACTGAAGAACCGGGAAACTGAAGAATCAAGAAGTGTCAAGGCTAAACCTCGTCAAACAAGTGATGAGTTCATCCTGGTTGTTGATGTGCCCACAATCACAAATAATGAGGCTGAACAAAGTGCAGATCTTCCTATAATGAGCACAGATGAGGCTGAACAAAGTGAAGATCTTTTGAAAACGGGCACAGATGAGGCTGAACAAAGTGCAGATCTTCTTAAAATGGGCACAGACGAGGGACAACAAAGTGCAGATCTTCTTAAAACAGGCACAGATGAGGGACAAAGTGCAGATCTTCCTAAAACGAGCATAGATGAGGCACAACAAAGTGCAGATCTTCTTAAAATGGGCACAGATGAGGGACAAAGTGCAGATCTTCCTAAAACGGGCATAGATGAGGCACAACAAAGTGCAGATCTTCTTAAAATGGGCACAGATGAGGGACAAAGTGCAGATCTTCCTAAAACGGGCATAGATGAGGCACAACAAAGTGCAGATCTTCTTAAAATGGGCACCGATGTGGGACAACAAAGTGCAGATCTTCCTAAAACGAGCACGGACGAGTCAGAGAGCACTTCTGAGCAATCAAAGGACACCTCAGGCTCTGACCGTGGAACATTAAGCACTAAAAATCTGAAGAGGATGTTTCCATGCAAAACATGTGGCAAAGAGTTTGTTCTGGAGAAGAGGCTAAAGAAGCACTCAAGGAAACATGTAGGACGTAGGTTGCAGGATGAAAAGAAAATGAGAAGAGAGCAAGCTCTAATGGAAACGAAGCTTGAGGAACAAGAAAAAAGGAGATCGGAGGAAAAAGAGAGGCTTGATGATAAGATGTCAACAAGTAATCACAACCCAAATAAAGTATGTGTTCTTTACAAAAACCTAAAGATTGATCTGAATATACCTTCATATTTCATAGTTTTAAATCACGAAAACAGATAAGCATGATAAGCTTGATTTGTTTTAATGATAAGATCTTTAAAATCTTTAGAAATCAGTGGAACCAGAATTAAGAAAATTATTATTATCATTAAGAAAATTCAGGAAAAACGTGGTTCCTGTGTCTGCACAATTTGTGGTAATGTCTAAGCCCGTAAGAATTGGCTAAGGATTCACATGCGTGGCCATCATGAACGAACACTTGATACGAGGACAAACCAGTCAGAAACCAATGAGAGGCATAGAAAACAAGGAAATGGCAATAAACTTGGAAAACAAAAAACTTGGAATAATAGCAAAAATGACCACATGACGTGGGTTAGTCTACAAAATGGGTGCCGTTTGTTTTGCATGTTGGAAGTGTAAAGGATAACTTTATAATAACTGATACCAAATTTATTAGATAATACAGCTAGTTTTTAAACAAAAATCGTATAACTTTATTGCATGTTTGTTTACTTTTGTTCGTTGAAGAATGTGTTTTTGTATATTGATATTGTAAATTCTAATATAGGAACCTGCAAGGCTAGTAATGCCTTTCTGAAAGCACTATTATGTTCCAACTTGTACTATATCAATTTAGCTTGATGATACATTGCAAGTTATTGTATTTAACACCTAAAATCTTAATCTTAAAATCATTTTTGTTAAAGGTCCTCATTTTATAGATTATCTCATGCATAAATATGCATTCAAATAATATTTTCATTCCCCTTCAGCAGACGCCTCAAGCATCCCCAAAAAAAGAGTCATTACAAAAAAGCAGAAACCGAGGTCAAGGGCCACTACCCTGCCCATTTTGTGGCAAAGTTTTTGCTTGGGAAATGCGGCTATTGATGCATATGCAGATTCATTGTGGTGAGAAACCTTACGCCTATCGGCAGCGCAAGCGGCATTTTTATGGTGACCTGAAAAGGGGCCAGCTCCCGAAAATCCATAATCAGGAGGTAGGAAAAGACTATGTGATTGATTATTTTGACTATTAGTTTCATCCAGTTTCATATCCTCAGGAAAAAAGAATTGTTTGTGCAATTAATCCTAGGTTTTGTTAACCCTAAAGACAGTTGTTTAAGTCATTATAAGAATGGTTGATTGTCGCTTTCCCCCAATGCAGCCTTCGGGGGACAAAAGTGAGTCTGAAGAGTCTGAGTATGAAGAGACGGTGAATAAGGACAGATCTGCACATCTGAGCAGCAGTGCAACCCATGCAGTGTCTGGAGCTCTCGCAAGCAGTATTGAGACCACTGTACCAGAGTACTATACTGGCAGCCCCGGCCTTTTACCTCAGAGAGCTATTGAGCAGCCTACCACCTCTTACAAGAGTAATCAAAGAACCAAACCCGAACTGGTCAGTGACATCATGAGCCACTTCAATTTGCAGCCCAGGATTGTTCTACAACCAATTATGACTGAATACAAGTATTGGAGCTCAGTGCCTCGGGTAGCTGACTTGAAATCAGGTTGCTCTGAAAAAAGTAGTGGCTTTGATCACAAACAAACCTCATACTCAATATTGGTTGATGATGAAATGGTGGATGCTGTGGAAGATAAAATTGTGGATTCCAATCTTTGCACATTGCCATTGGAATTCTCTAGTCATGGCATCCAGAACAATCCTGAAATATGCCTCACTGGTAATCCTGAGACAGAAGTAGTCTTTGTGGAGGCTGGATCTCCACAGCGTGATTCGGAAGTAGAGCTTGACAACATTGGGGGGCCACTGGCCTTTGAATCCTCTGAGGGAAAAAACGCGGAGAGTCAACAAAAAGATGACCGCAACTCAAATTTTCCTGGTGTTTCAGAAAAAACAGCCAGAAACCAGGTATCACTTATAGTAATAGATGACGAAGTAGAGCAGTCAAATGCAAGAACTGCTGCTGAAAATGCTCTGTCTGAATGTGGAAGAACGAAGTGTGATTGGAAGTGTGATTGGAAGAACATTTCTGCTATGAAATTAACAGTCATGCCACAGAGTAGCGTTTTAGAATCTTTGTTCAAGGAAACTAGTTCTGGCACCATTCAGAAGAACATTGACTCAAAATTAGTTTGTGTTGTCCTCTCAGATGTTGAAGACAATGTTGATGAAGATGTGTTGAGTCCCTCCAAAGGTTTAGATAAAAAGAAAACAGCCTCTGTTCCTAGCATTCAAAATGAACAATTAGATGTGGGGAGCAAACCTGGCAAAAGTCCCTCCAGCAACTCCAACTTTCCAGCTCCAGATGCAACTGAACCCACCAAATCTATTGATGGTGCCTCACAACTTACTGATGATCAGAGTATCTCAAACGACCCACTCAGAGACCAGATGGCCTTTACTGCCATCAGACAAACAGAGGACAGGCCCATGAGTTCAAAGGAGAGAATATCATGTCAAACATCTGATATGGTATTTGCTGGTCAAGAATCTCTGTCGGAAGTTCATGCTGACAAGAAACTGCTAGACATGGAGATTGTCAATGGCGGTGAGAGAAAAAATAAGAAACTGGGTCCGAACAACCAGGTATGCAATAGTAGCAGATCGAAAAGTACAATACGGACTCAAAAGTAAATCTAATCTTAAAGGGGTCATATGATGCATTTTCAAGTATTCCTTTCTCTTTGGAGTGTTACAAGCTGTTCGTGCATAGATAAGATCCCTAAAGTTGCAAAGACTAAAGTCTCAAACCCAAAGAGATATTCTTTATAAAAGTTAAGACTCATCCACGCCCTCCTAAAACGCCTTGTTTAAACATGCCCCCACATGTCTACGTCACTGTGTGGGAAGATTTGCATAACACCGCCAAAATGTATACGCAAAGAAAGAACTTTCCAACTTTGCAAGGACAGTCTGGCGCTTCTGACTCACAGCCTGTAAGTACGTTTTAATATTTAAAGAACTTGCCACTGACGATTCAAACGCGAGTTTTGAGCAGAATGGGTTTTATTGGTTTTGTCTCGTCGTGCCGGGACACGGCATCACAGTATGGTAAGGGGCATAACATTTCCGTCACACGCTTGAGGTATTCGGCCAATCACAACGCACTGGATAGCTGGCCAATCACAGCACACCTCGCTTTTCAGAATGATGAGCTTTGTAAAAATCGACGCTTTTCAGAAAGGCGGGGCATAGAGGAGCATCAATAATGTACAATATTCGGAAAAAAAAAAGTTTTTTGAACCTTAAACCGCATAAACACATTGCATTACACCAAATAATGTTATTTTTAGCAACGTCATATGACCCCTTTAATCGATCTGTGGAAATGTAAAGAGATATGTGAATACATGAACAGAGAAATCTCAATTTATATTTATACTGTTTTCTTTTGAATTTTCTTAATGTCAGATGTCAGAATCTGTTCTGGATTATTCAACTGACAACTTTGAAATCTCAGGGACAATTGAACCACCTGTACAAAATGTGAAAACTTGTGAGTTACTTGTGAAAAGTTCTGAAGGATTCGAAATGCCTTTATTCACATCCCATCAAACCTCTGATGGTAGATGCAAGACTGCAGTGAGCAGTGGAGAACAAAAAAAAGTAAAGCAAGCACTATATTGTCAGTTTTGTGAGAAGGCATGTAGAAAGATAGAACTGCACCTAAAGTGTGATCACGCAAAAGAACCTGAAGTGGTAAAAGCTTTAAATCTTGACACAGACTGTAAAGAAAGGAAACAGTTATTGAGCAGTTTTGCTATTAAAAAGAACTTCAACCAACCTAGAGATTCTCGAATCGATTGTGATGAAGATATTGTTCACTGCATTTTTTGCCATGAGTCTTTTGGATGGAACAAATTTCGGGAGCATGCTCTTATATGTAAGCATAACATGAATCCAGCTGCATCCAGCAAAACTCAGGAAATGTTTGATGCAGAATTGGGAAATCTTGCTCCAGACACTATCAGCATCTCCAGACCTTTAGAGCCAGCTAATGCTCCTGTGTCAAATCTCTCAGATTTACGTGATCGCCCTATACCAGAAACTAGGATATGTGAGGAGAAGGAGAACCATACTTTAGTGTCAGATCATTCCCAAATTCTATGCACTAGTGACAGCCCAGCACAGAAGGTTTGTGATCCAAAATCCTCAAGCCCTCCTAATCTTGACTCTTGCCAGAGTGCTGCTCCAAAAACCTATTATCCAGAAGTGAAGGGGCCAACTGTTTCTAACATTGACGGCAGCATAGCTCAAATTGATCTTGATGCACAATTATTAAAGCCATCTGGTCTAGATTCTTGCCAATGTTCTGCAATAAATCCTCCTTATTTGGAATCTTCATTTAGTACATCACGGAACCCTGATGCGGAGATACTTGAACCTCCCATACTAGATTCCTGTCAAACAATACGAGTCGTAGAATCTACAGTTCCAACCCTTCCTTTTTCAAACACTGGTTGCAATGTTCTTCAGCAGTCCCTTATAAAACAATCAGATCATCTCCGACTTGTGAACCAACCATTTTCTTCAGATCCAGAGGTGTCTTGTGATTTAGAACCTGATGGTTATTCTTCTTGTGATACTGGGTGTTGTGACAGCCTTCAGCTCTCTTCAAAACCAAAGGTTCCTTCAAGTCCTGCCCCCTTAAACTCTTCTTCAGAATGCAATGCAGATTCAAAGTGTACTCTTAAGCTAGCTGTGTTTGATGATACGTATTTGGGCACTAATGAGACAGAGCAAACCCAAGATTCAGATGTAGAAAGGAACATCTTCATGGTCTCAGGCAGCTCTGATGTGCATCTAGAACCTGAAAGTCACCATACTCCAGATCCTAATAGCTATAATGTTGAACAAACCCAGTGTCAGCAGCCTGAAAGTATTGAAAATCCAGATGCTGGCAGGAGTGGGAATCAGCCAACAGCTGATCTAGAATTAAAGTCAGTTCCTTCTATTCAAGAAATCAAATCCAGAGCCGTAGGACACATGTCTTACCTTAAATTCCAAGAGTGTGATCTTCAAGAAGACCCTGAGAAGATCACTGATGAGAATGGCATTGATTGTGCTGTTGAAGTTCAACATGACTCAAGCATATCAGTGACAAGCAAGCAAAAGAGAAAAAGAGTCTACCAGATTAGCCGTCTGAAAGAGGAGTCAAAGAAAAGTTGTCCAAGTTCTCATTCTCAGGTTAATTTGTTTTTTTTTTTTTTTTTGCGATGCAAGCTTTTAGTGCTTACCTTTGATAGAATTCTGCTGTAGTATTATACATATAATGAAACGTGCCGATCTTTTAGTGCTAATATGCAAAAACTGACCATACAAAGAATTTAGAATTATTATATTATTTGATTATTGAATTTATTATGCTCTTTTAAAATGTGGATGCATTAATTATTTGTTATTGTTCCTCCTTTGCAAAAACAGGGTCCTGGATGCCAAACCAATTCCACTGATGACAACTCCAGCATATTCAAGATACATCACTGCTTTTACTGCAAGCAGCCACATTATAGAATGATGGATCATCTTCAGTCAGTTCATCCTAATGAACCAGAGGTGGCAAAAGCTCTTACCTTTGACAATAGCTCACAAGAAAGGAAACAACTTTTGAACCATCTACAAACTAGGGGAAATGTTCTACACAACACAAATGTGGTTCAAAGTAGTAAACAAGATTTAAACCCATTTGGGAAGTTTGCATCGCAGTGCTCATTTGATGATAGTGTTTATTGCATCTACTGTTTAGGGTTATTTAACAAGAAGTCTTTTGCTTCACATTTAGAGCAGTGCAAGGGCAAATCAACTCAAAGTGCTGAGGCTAGCTGTGGTGAAATGCTTCCTGATGCTGGGCCCATTCCTCCAGGTCCTACACTTATTTCCCCCTCTAGTCCAGAAGAGATTGATGCCAATATAGAACCATCAGGTTTTCATTGCCTAAATACCGTCTATGAAACAGATTTTGAAAATGAACAAGGAAGTTCTTCCCTTCCAGACCTCAGCTGCATTGTAGAGCAACCAGACATCTCAAGTCCAAATGAGAAGGTTAGAAACAATAGACAGGCAGAGGGTGCCTTTTTACAATTCAGACGTTCTCCTGAAAATGAAGTAGGTTACGAATTGAAGTCGGGTAATTCTCCCAATCCAAGCACTGGTCAAGAATCAACAGACTGTAAGAATGAAGGAGTAAGTCTCCCAAAGTGCGATGTTGATCAAGAAAGGGCAATGACACCAACATCAGATACCAGCTCCATCAGTCCTCCTCACCCAGAATATGATGTTCTCAGAAATCCATGTGATGATTTCAGTCCACCTCAAAATGCCCAAACTGTGTCTAATGACACACACAAGAGTAGCGTGAAAGCCCAAACTTATGGAACAGGGATGAAGAGGAGGAAGTGGTGCTCACGTGTCCATAATCAGGTAAATACAATTGTTAAATGACACATTCTGAACTTTGTTCTTCACTCTCTATTAGTAGATTCTTTACATTAAAAGATACTTTGAACCTCTATATAGTTGTTTTTTTATGAGTAATACGGGTTATGTTAACATGAGCAGAACTGTTCCAGTATCCAGTATACAGCCAGTATTTTCAATGAACAAAAGATGAACAGTGGTGGTGTTTTCTCCTTTCATTTGTAGTCACTGATCATGGATGATGACATCATATTGTAGAGAAATGATTTGTTCTTATAAGAGAATGGAATTGACATTCTTGTTTTATTGACAGCCATCAACAAAGAGTCCTGAGGATTTACCAAATGCTGTTACAGATGACACAGGGGGAAAAGTTTCAGCCACAAAGCAAGGTAAAGTTACTGCTGGTCATGCAACCCTAAAAAGCATCAAAAGACACAATAAGTATTCTTATCCGTCCATTAAAGCTTGTAACTTTTTTTGACTGAAGATGCTTTTGTTTCAGACACATAGGTGAGAGAGTTCCACTTTGAAGAAGCAGGACAGCAAAGTCAAAGACTATGACACGGATTGCGAGAAGTTATTGTTTACATCTTAGTGTTATGTTTTTTCAAAACATATTTATTTGTTTTTTTAAATATGTTTTACAATGTTGTCTCAATCTAATGGTTTCAATACTTTTACGGAATGATTAATTTCAGCCTGCTGTATTGTACAGATCATAGCATATGTTTAATAAATAACTCCAGATTGAGAATAAAAAAGTTAGAGGAATTTAAGGGTATATTGGTCTTTTTTGGTATCTGATATGTGACTTAAGGCAGTTTTCAGTTACTCATTCCAAAGCTGAGACACTAGACATAACAGCCATTACTCCAGTCTTCAGAGTCACATGATCCTTCAGAAATTATTCTAATTTGCTGATTTGGTGCTCAAGAAACGTTTCATATCAATGTTGAAAACAGTTGTGCTGCCTAATGTTTGTGTAAATCATGATACTTTTTTGAAGATTCTTTTATGAATAGAAAATATAAAAAACAAACAACAGCATTTATTTGAAATCTATATAAAATATAAAAAATATACACAAAAATGTACAATCATAAATGTCTTTGCTGTCACTTTTGATTATTTTGTATAAACAACTATAAAATCAGCAACTAAATGTGACGTTTTAATTGCTGGTAACAAGTTTCAAGATATTGATTTCAGTAAAACATCTGGGTAATAAAACAGGTTTATGGAGTTTGTGACTTAATGACTAAATCTCTGTCATGATTTCATTTGTCCAAACTTTTTTTTTTTTAACTTTTAAATATTTAAGTACATTTAAATGTGGTAACATTTTTACTTTCACTCAAGTATGCATTTGTATTGCTAGATAATTTGACCTTTTTCTCAGAATCCATACTTTCACTTGAAAGGCAAAATTATTTAAATATAAATTTTACACTGCTGAGGTACTAGTGTGTTTTATTTATCTATGAATTGCGATTAAACTGGAAGACTGCCCCACAGAGAACTGCTTTTCTTGTTTCAGATTTTGTTTTGTTTTTATTCCAGGTACCAAGAGGCTCCAGTCTCATTGTGAGCCACTATGACATCTCATAAAAGTATGTTTATTAGATTCTCTGTTTATCATTACAAGTGCTGTGCATGAGTGTGAAGGCTTTGCAGCAAAAGCTGTAACTCCTCCTGTCCTGCGAAGGGTGCTAGAGTCACTTCAGTTAGCACAGCAACCTGATGTGCTGGGGGTTTGATTTTAAAGGGGGAACTTTCACGCTCTCGTCTCTGTGCTGTTATCGGTACCTGTATTGTCTGTATTTATTGTTTAAATACAGAGACCTGAAATAAAGTAGTAAAATGACTAAACTGGATCGTCTGAACACTTTCATGACCGAGCGCTTGATGGCTGCTGTGAAGGAGATCATCTTCACCGTCGGTAGAACGGTTCGGGAGTATGAGGAGGAAACGGAGCGAATCAAGAGCGAAAACAAGCGACTGAAAGAAATGTTGCGAGACTCTGGGTGTTTCAGTGAACAAGCAAATGCTGGTAAAACGATTAAATTATTCAACTCTATAAAATATCAGGGTAAATGTTTCTGTTATATCATGTTTAGAATAAGGCATAACATTTTGATCTGGAATTACAGATATTTTTTTCATCAGAATTTTTTTTTTTAAAGGGGTCATATGATGCGATTTCAAGTTTTCCTTTCTCTTTGGAGTGTTACAAGCTGATTGTGCATAGATAAGATCCCTGAAGTTGCAAAGACTAAAGTCTCAACACCAAAGAGATAACTTTGATAAAGAATAAGACTCTGCCACGCCCTCCTAAAACGGCTTGTTCTAACACGCCCCCACATATCTAACTCCCTAT